GAGATCAAATTGAAAGTTTAAATTGGAGAATACAGGGGATATATCAAACAAAAGTTTGGTGCTAAGCACAAGGCTATCATGCTTTCGTACCTGTCAAATAGATTTCTTAGTTTATAGTCACACTCACATGTCTTGATAATTGTCTAGAGCACATATTTTTTTCCAACCGAGAAAAAAATAGTATGATCGTTAACCAACCAAAATCATAAAATTTTGAGAGATTGGTCATCAAAAGTGAAGAAGGGGGAAAATAAATAAATCTTACTACACCTATTTAACATGGGTTATATCTCTACATCATCTTATCATATATGGATGCCAAGAAACAATTGAAAAACAATAACATTTCCTGTTGGTAAAGACTTCATAAGAAACTAATTAAGTACAATATATTTTTTTCATAGAAATAATATACACATAAATACACAACCTAAATAGTAAATGTTAAACATAAATTGAACGCAAAACTGATTTAACATGAAAAAAAAAATAGATTACGTACCCGTCCAAATGGTGCTATGCAATGCAAATTTAGGTATGGATTATAGCAAGTTCAAATGAGAAGGGTCAATAGTTTTTATAGAGGAAAAACTCTAACATAAAGAAGAGGTAAAGTATAAATTATTCATTTATGTACCGCAATAAAAGATATAAGAAATTATACATAATTATTAGTATTACCAGAGGAAGATCAAAAGCCAAAAACCATTTAAACTGAAAAGTAAACTGACTATTAGAAGATGAATAATCCCCCACACTTACCCTGTATTATGCTCTGCTTAAATTAAAATTAAATGGGAGTTGGATAAGTTATTGCAGCTAAATTATCATTTAATAGAAGTTTTCTTAAAAGAATAAATTGTCAAACATTCATTAGAGAGGAAGATGAAAAAAATATTGTATGCATTAACTATCATGTCAAATTTATTTAATTTATTAAATATTTTTTAAAATTTTAATTTAATGTAGGGATAAAATTGTAATTCAACTTTTTACTTAGATTCTTCCCACTTATAATAATATATGATATTAGTCCTTGTACAATCTTCTCCTTTATAAAATGGCAATCGATCTCAATGTGCTTAGGCCTTTCATGATAAATTGGATTAGCTGCAAGTAGGATTTCTGTTTTGCTATCTGTGAAGACATTCACTGGCTTCTGTACTTCAATTCCTAGGTCCTTCATGAGGCCTATTATCCAGATAACCTCAGTCACAATAGTGGCTATGCTCATGTATTCAGCTTCTGCTGAACTTCTGGAAATAGTCGACTGTTTCTTTAATTTCCAAGAGACTTTAGAATCACCCAATTTAATAAAGTATCCAGTTACAGATTTCCTTGTGAGAGGGCATGATGCCCAATCTGCATCACAGTAGGCTGAAATGTTGTTATCTTGTGTGCTTGATAATAAGACTCATTGACCAGGCTAACCTTTTATGTATCTAAAAATTCTCAGAGCTGCTTCTATATGTGTCTTTTTTGGATGTTGGAGAAATTGACTTAAGTTTTGTACCCGAAATGATATGTCTGGTCTGGTCATGGTAAGATAGAGTAGCTTTCCTATCAACCTCTTATAAACTGAGGGATGTAAAAAACTCCAGACACTGTGTCTCTTTCACTTATTTGGCTTGAACCTAAATGTGTAATCAAGGCTACATTACCATTAGGAAGGTGTACTTTCTTTGGATTTTCAACTTTGAATATGGACCGACTATCCAGTAAACTTAGATCAACTACCATATGGTTGGTAGCACCTGTATCTACTATCCACTCTAGATTTCCTGTATGAGCTACAAGTGCAATGTTCATACCTGCCACATTTGCACAATGTGAAGCTTCTGACTTCTTTTTGAGAAACTGCAAGATTTGACTATATTGCTCTTTCATTAAGGTACATGACTCCAGTTCACTTTGTTGAGAAGGCTTAGTTCCTGAATATTGTCCTTTATCATATACCAATGACTCAGTTCCTGCAATTCCAGTGTAATTAGTGTTCTGATTCACCTGAAACTGCCCACCTGATCTCACATCATCCCCAACTTCAGTAACCACATTATAGGCTGAGTTGTTCCCTCCTTTCTTTTTAAACTTAGAATCCTGCTGGTAGCCAATAATCTTGAAACAGTTTTCTCTTGTGTGGCCTTTTAGTTTACAAAGGTCACAAAATAGATTATATTTTCTCTTGAATCTTTGTTGATTCCCATTCATTCTTGAGTACATTACAGTATCAAATGACCCCTGCACACCTTGTAAATTTGCAGGAGTAGTACCCAACACACCTGCATTTGACACAACTGACTTCTGGTTTTCATCACTAAGAATCATAGAATACGCCTGATTGACGCTGGCACTGGATCCATCATAAGGATCTGACTTCTTGCTTGCAAGTATGAGTCATTTAAACCCATGAGGAACTGAAACAACTTTAGCTTTTGAAGATGTAGGACATACTCATTAGATCCTTCATACGCACACCCTGGTGCAGGAACTAGAGCTTCAAACTCTTCCCATAACCCCTTGAGCCTAGAGTAAAACATAGACACATAACTGGTACCCTGACTGAGAGTTGCAATTTCTTCGTGAAGATTAAAGGTTCTTGATCCATCCATCCTATTAAATTTTTCATACAAATCATCCCACACCACTTTAGCATTAGATGCATACATGATGCCTCCTAAAAGATTCTTAGATATAGAGTTCATGATCCACGACAAGACAATGGCATTAACCCTTTCCCAATTACCCTCTAACCCTGGAAAATTTTCTTTCTTACATGACTCATCAGCCATCCCCAACTTGTTCCTCCCCAATAATGCAATTTTCATTGATCTATACCAAACTTCTAGTTCTCTACTCCAGTTAATTGGAAGGAGATAATTTGGATTCCACTTACATCAGAGGCATGAAGGAACAAAGGGTGATTATGATCAATTCCAGCTATGGATACACCATTTCTACCAAGGTTTGAAGGCTGAGAATCTGCAGAATTTGACCCCATTTCTTGAATTGTTTCAAAGATCTGATACACTTCAATACTGATCTTGCGGAATATTCACTATCAAGCAAATAATGTCCAGCTTGAAAGCTCTGATACCATGTAGTTCTCTTTGGAAGAATGAGCGAAAATAGAAACTAAGCAATGAGCTCTTGATGAACTCTTTACAAAAGAAGAGAAGATAGAGAGCAGAAATACAGAGATGTTTAGAAGTGAAGAGAGGAAGCTTTCATTATTGAATGATTGTATTATCTTTCTATTGTGTTGTACACTGATATATATATACAACTAATCCAACTGAACAGCTAACTAACTTAGTAGTATAAATAACTTCTGGAATTTCTCATAACTAACTAATTGTAACTAACTACTCTTAATGCTAATACTTGTAATATCACTAGTATTAACATTCTTTTCCCCGATGTTCTCGAATGTCCATTAAGTGTGCAACTCTGTTGGTTAGGTGGCGATTCTAGTTGAAGGACGAGAGTGGTCGTAAGGGCTTATAATGTCTTAGGTTCAATTCCTCAAGATAGCAAAGGTGACCTGTGTGTAATTCTTAGACAAGTGGCTCGAGTTCTCCATGTTTAATTCAAACAGCTTCGCTATCATCAGTTCATCACCGTTTGGATAGTAATCAACTAGTCTTCTTAACTAATGTATTCATTCTTATTTTGTTGTGGTTTTGAGGAGACAGAAAACATATTCAGTTTGTTGTTTATCTAATTTTATTTACATCCAGTAAAGTCATGTAACATTAAATTCATCCACAACTTTATCACCTGATGGATCAAATATCTTGATACGAGTCTGAATAAGTTCCTTACTCAAATGTAAACCTAACATATCATAATCAACCATTAAGCTTTATGAAATGCTGAGGACTTGTCATCTTGGTGTTTAATGTGTGTGTTCCTGCAGAATGTTCTATGGACCTGGGGGACCTTATGCATTGTTTGCTGGAAAGGATGCTAGTAGAGCTCTTGCCAAGCTGTCCTTTGAGGAAAAAGATCTCACAGGGGATATTTCTGGCCTTGGTGCATTTGAGCTTGATGCCTTGCAAGATTGGGAGTACAAATTCATGAGCAAATACGTCAAAGTTGGGACTGTGAAGCAGGCAGTGCCAGTAAATGATGGGGAAGCTAATGACGGATCTGTTGAAGGAACTGATGGTGAAGCTAAGCCAGCCGAGGGTGATGCTTCAGGGAATGCCAAGCCATTGGAAGATGATGGTCCATCAAAAGGTTCCGAGGCTGGTGCTGATGGTCCTTCAGAGACGGTTGCTGCTGAATCTGTGGTCAAATCTGAGGCTGACGTCGACAAGAAAGACTAATTGGGACAGTTTTAGTTCAAGTGACAAGTTGAGAAGTGAGAACCAAAGGGAAGTGCTTTGTGGATATGTGAAATACATATCATCTGGTGCATTTGTTGATTATCTTGTGTCAGATATAGTAAATTTCTAAACTGTTGTATGAAATAATGAACTAAGCACATTTCACTTCCTTTGTCTTATAGAGGTGTCATTACTGAGGTAATGATTGATTTAGCTGGAAAGATCCTCCTTTTTCTTGTCTAAATCAGTGTATCTCATGTTGTAGTTGCAGTCTCCATATAACGTCTAATTTTTACGCCTCTATTTGAAGTTTCTAGAAAATTTCCATGGCTGGCATGATCTTTACAAGTAATGCAACCAATTTGGTGGAAATACTGCAATACACACACCAAACGTCAAATCTGAGCAGTCTGGCCAGGCCATCTTTTCCCTTTAGTCGCACCAAAGGAGTCCAGAGCCTACCAAGCATGTTTTCCTAAAGCCAATAAATCAGAAGAGCCTGAATGTTTGTATATGGTGGATACTGTAGGTTGAGGACCTCAAGAAAAAGATGTCGTAAATTCTAGGGGGGTAGAAGGTCGAAAACAAGCCTTTTGATACCGATCATATCATCATATCTATTTATATCGCTGTTTGGATTAATTTATTTTTAGGTACTTTTGGCTTTTAAGCATTTTTCTAGTTACGGAAGTGTTTGACTTTTAAATATAACCTTTCCAAACACCTTCAAAACTAATGAAGTACTTAAAAGTCAAAAACATCTAAAAATAAGTTGATCCAAATGACCGCTAACTATTTTAGAATCAATGTCCTTTCAATGGTGAGGTTTTAAAGCAGCCATATCAATTCTACAAGGAAAGGAACATTTTAAACGGGTTAATACTTTTATAGATGGAAGGCATTTGCTTTGAATCCGAAGTCAAAAGGACTACTCTTTTTTTTCCCTCTAAAATACAAAAAACTTGTAATTTCAATGATTAAGGAATCAGACCGAATTCAGAATTCAAGGAACTTTGCGTAGAACCCTAAACATTACTTTTTATGATTGAAGGTAGATGTAGGGCTTGAGGACAAACTTAGTCCAACACTATGAGTCGCCTTACATATCTGGACGAGCAAGATTCTTAAAGAAGCTTGAAGAAGAACTTGCTTGGAAACCTTGAAACCCTAGCTTTTCTATTTCTTAAAGTTCTTGAGCATATATATTTTTGAGAATGAGAGGGTTGAAATAATGAAAACTAATTGACTTTGACTTTTGTGGAGAAATTAATAGTCGTGGGTTGTGGTTTTGGGACGAGGAAAAGGCATAAACACGCCTCCTTAAACGCGAAAAGAAGAGAAAACTTAAAGAATTCTGAAGTAACGTGCGCAGTCGCGCAGCTGAACCTTAATTCACGCGGCACTTCGCGCAACCTTAATAGTAACACTGACCTTGCTGCTCGAATAAATCACTCACTGTCGAATACATCGCGCGAATATCCCTACTCTTTTTCAAATTACAAAAAATTCCTTAAAATTTAAGGATTTCGAATACTTCACTATATACATCGCGTTCTGGTTTCGGATACATCACTCAATGTCCCGATACATACGTCTCGATTTCAGATACATCACTCAACGTCCAATACATCGCGTCCCGATACATTATCTTTGTTAATACAAGACACACCTGTCCCGATATTTCACTCAACGGTCCCGATACATTACCTTTGTTGATACAAAACACACCTATCCCAATATATCCCATAAGAGTGATGTATCCAAGAATATGAGAGAGTAGGGATTTTTGTAATTTTCCCAAATAGTAAAGAATTTTAGAGAATATAGTAAAATAAATGGTGTATTTAGGTAATTTTTCCTTTTTTTTTTTACCTTCTATATTTTTTTTAAATGTAGGGGATAAGGGTATGAAAAATACCTCAACTTTGATCGGATTTGCTGTTGCGATACTAAACTTTCATGAGGACCTATTACCTCCCTAGACTATTTAATATCGTATTTTAAACATATATATTTTCCCACGTGGACATAAAAAATAATGCAAAATTATAAATAGTAATGTGTCCACATGAGCACATATATACCTTTAAAATACATTATTAAATAGTTCGGGTAAAAAATAAGGTATTAAATAGTCTAGGGAAGTAATAGGTCCTTATGAAAGTTTAGTATCGCAACAACAAATCTGACCAAAATTAAATATTTTTCAGACCATTATTCCTATATATCATTGTTTATTTCATTCATAGTAATAAATGGAGTAACAAGCCTAAAGAATCACACTTTAAGAAGGAATCCCAATGTCCTTCTTCAGTTTTCGACTCAAATTTGTTAGGAATCCTATCCTCCAAGGAATTTCCAAAATTTGAACTCGTCTCTTACAATAATTTCCGACCGTTGTTTTTTTAACCCCCAAAATCCACCCATTTTCTTCCTACAAAACCCCTTTTTTGAACACATAAATTCTTCATCATCTAAAACAGAGCGAGGGTTTTCAGATAGCTAATAGAGCATCTGAGATTTAAGGATTTTTTTATAGGAAAAACGTTTTCTTCTTTGGCTGCATCAAGCTTCTTTGTTCGTCGGAGTCCAGCGACCGTTTTAGTGGTGGGATCTTCGTTGCTGTCCTGAAAAAGGTAACCCTTTTCTCCTTTCTTGCTTCATTTTTTTTTTCCAATTAATTCTCTGTTTCTGGTTTAAGTTTGGCAAATAGTTGTTGTTTATTTTTAGTAGTGAGTTTAAGAAATATTACTGTCTCTACTGTTTAATGTGGTATGAATTAGGATCATCTTTTGAATTTTCTTTCCAGATGCTTAATGTCTTTGTTGTTTATTTTCCCATTATTATAATCAGTGTTTTGATTTGCAGTCTTAGTTCACTGTTTGTCTAAGTATATCATGAATCTGCTGTGTATTTTGGTTTACTCGTTTGTCGATCTTCATTGCATAGGCTGATCTGTCTTTCTTTGAGTCGTTTAAGCAAATAATGGATTGAATCTTTTGTTTATCGATGGAATCTTTGGCTTCAGAATCCTTAACAGATAAACGTATGTTCTTGCTACTATGATTTTTGCTACAAACATGTTGCTCCTTTGCTTCCATTTCTTTAAGTTTTAGTGTTTGTATAGATTAATTTTAAGTGCATATGATTGCTATGTGTTTATTTAGATAGACAGACATTTGAACACCTCCCTTTTCCCCCACAAAATCCACCCATTTTCTCCCTCTTAACCCTCCTTCCTTCACGGATTTGACCATCGAAAAACACAAAAAATCTTAATCATCTAAAACAGAGGGGGGTTTTCATATAGCTAATGAAAGCATTTTCTTATTCGGCTGTATCAAGCTTCTTTGTTCGTGGGAGTCCAGCCACCATTTCAGCGGTGGAAACTTCGTCTCATCCCAATTGCTGTCCCGAAAAAGGTAACCATTTTCTCCTTTTATGCTTCATTTTTTTCCAGTTAATTCTCTGTTTAGTTAAATAGTGGTAGATCTGTTTCTGGTTTAAGTTTGGCAAATAGCTGTTATTTTTTTTTAATAGCAATTTGAGAAATATTACTATCTCTATATGTTGCTTAATGCAGTATGAATTAGGATCATCTTTTGAATTTTCTTTCCAGATGATCAATGTCTAGTTGTTTCTTTGCTTTGATTTCCAGTCTTAGTTCACTGTTTGTCTAAGTATCTCATGAATCTGCTATGTATTTTGGTTTACTCGTTTGTGGATCTTCATCACATAGGCTGATCTGTCTTACTTCGATTGAGTGTTTTAATCACTCTTTGAGTCCCTCGTTTAAGCATATAATGGATTGAGTCTTTTGTTTATCAATGAAATCTTTGGCTTGAGAATCATTTACAGCTAGAAGTATGTTTTTGCTACTAGGATTCTTGCTTCAAACATATTGCTCCTTTGCTGCCATTTCTTTAAGATTTAGTGTTAGTATAGATTAATGTTGAGTGCATAGTAGAGATTTCAAACAAAAGCTCTCTGTTGGTAATTGATTCCTATCTGGGCATGTATTCTTGTAATAACTAAAGAGGCTATGATGCCAACATTTCCTCTATCTGTGATAGTAGTTTTTTTTCTTCTCAAAATGGCTATCTAGTCCACTATTTTTCTCTATTTTTCTCAGAGGTGCAACTGATTGCTTCTCTTAACCATGCAGATCCAGGAAAGCAAAGTACTAGTCTTGATAGAGCAAGGAAGTGACCACCAAGTTGATGAAACAATCAATTGTAAGTTGCAACACTCTCTTCAATAAACATTTGATGAGAAATATCAATAGGAGCAAGCCCAAAAAAGCACTACGTCAGGTCAATTTTTCTTCAAAGCCAATCCCTGAGTTGCCTTATAATTCTCTAACCGAAGTGACAGAGCTAAGAATCCTTTCTTGCGTCAGCATCCTGATATCTCCATGGAATAAGAGCGTCTCTAACAGCCTTGGCTTCAGGAGAATTCTCCCAGGCTCTCTTTTCCGCTTCTAGAACAGTGACTTTATCATAAAATCCAGTCTTAATCATGAAAACCTCCATGGAACCTCCAATCATGGCCGAAACAACTGCAATTTTCAGATACCAATCCCAGAATTTCATTTTACCCTTGTAACACTTCTTCAATTCCTAGTCGCCCAAGCAATACTGATTCTACTGCTTCTTCTCCGTTTTCTTGATTTCTTCACTTCAATGAATCCATTGGTTTGCTATTTGTGCCACCAGTTTACATGGTGTAAGGTCTATTAATGAGGAGGGTCAGGGGGG